AGGGAGGAAGACGGGAGGGAGGGAGTTAGATGGTGTGGGGAAGAAGATACAAAATAAAATATCATTTGTTGGAGATAGTTGGTATAAGAAAGTAATAATAAAATATTGTGTCGTGGGATGATGTAACATTATTTGTTTTGTTTCTTATTTATTTTAAGAGTAGGGATTTAAGAGGAACAAAATTAAGGGGGTAGGGAGTGCAGAGGCAAAAAAACATGTTAGGGACTGAATAGGAAAATGAAAAAGGGATTAGGGATTTAATGGGAAGTTTCCCTATAAAATATTTTGTTCATTTGTAAAAGATTTTTTTTCCTTAAAACATAAAAATAAATTTACACTTTTTAAGTATTATAAATATAAATAAATCCGAGAAGATATAGATGCACTAAAATCTCAATAACCAAACTTTGTAGATATCTTAATTGTTTGTGTAACAAACACAATCTCTTTATAAATGCGTTAAAATCCTTTACAATATTTTTGGCGATAGATTTTCAACTTGTTATCAATAAACAACCCAAAAAATCGGAATATATTGTGCAGATTGTAAAAAAAAAATGCTCAAAGATATCATACCATATAAAAAATTTTTCGTAAAAAAAAAAATTGTTAAAATTCAAACCCATTACCAAATTTTCAGCTAAAAGATTTAACAAAATCCAATAAATTTGGTAAGACAATTTCGATCAATTATCATCAAGATTTTATAGTAATTATGAAATTTGTGAACAAATAAAATCCCACAAAATCCGATAGCATTGGTTAATAAAGTTCGAATTTCATGGATGGAAGGAAAGATTTACGTGATTTATGTTCTTAATTATTTTTATGTTAACGTGTGGGGCCCATTGTTATTACTTAAAGTAGTAAGTCAAAACATTATTTTTTAAGTTAAACATACTATTTTTGTATTTTTCCAACAACCTCTTTTATATTACTATAGATTCTATAATTTTTAATTCTTTTTATTTTTGTTCCATTTTCATTTTTTTTGGGGGGGTTAGTTTTCCATTTTTTTTTTTGTTTTTATTATACGGTTCCTTCTTCTTTTTTTCTTGAAAAAAATAGCGGTATTTATTTATTTATTTATTTATTTATATAATATGCAACAATAGCAAAAGTACAAATAAGGGATAAGTTAGAGAGCGATTTAGGTACTGCAGCGGGTTTTGGAGACCAGTTATTAGAGCAAATTCAGTATATTTTTATTTTGGAGGACGGTTTGGAAATTTACATTTTCGAGTGTATTTTCTATGACTTAGGTTTAGGGGGAAGTACGACAGAGTGACTGGCCTAACCTTCTCTTCGAGACCATTTGGACCGACATGCTAACTCCGACCATCTTTGTCTTCCTTTGACGACTTATTCTGCGTCGGATTCCGATCGACTCTATGGTCTAGGAGAGCGGGGTTTTCTTCCCCTCGCTACTGTTGTGCCGAGACAGGTGACTTCCAGACAGATTTTTTTCCACTTGTTTTTAGAGTGTGAGATTGCGAGGAGTATGAGAGAATTTTGCCACAATTACTCATATACCCCCACCCACTACTGACATGTTTTTTGTGCTCCTAACTTTTTTCTCACTGCGGAAACAATTTAGACACCTGGATTTCTTCATTCCTTGTCCGATTCTGTGATTTTTCTAGACATAATAGAATAATGCGAAGCATATGGATATAACTTTTATGTGCTCTCACATTGTTTTGTAGGTTGATCGACATCTCTCCCTCCTCACAGCTTGGGGCAGACTCACGCCTAGAGATTGAATAGACTGTATGTCGCCCTTCTGCTTCATGTCGTCTCCGTTTGCCGCTTGTCCAGCACCCACGCCTTAGAGTCGTTGTTTGGCTGAGACCCGACTCCCCTTGAGTTAACCTGAACACTGACGAATCTTTCGACCGACTCACCGGAGCCGCTGGAGATGGGGGCCTAATTAGGGATCATAGCGGAGCTCTCACTACCGCCTTCCACGCCCATCTTGAGGCCTTCTCGAGCTACGACACGGAGGTTCGGGCGCCTCAGATCGGTCTTAAGATTGTAACACCTATCGCTACTCACATTTGAAGTGAGCTGGATGCTGCACCTGTCGCGACCCTCTTTACCTCGAGTCACCAGGGCTCGTGATTATGTAAGAGATTTATTTTTTGGCAATTGCTAAATGAGTTTTTTTAATTATTATGAGAAAATTGAATTCTAAATAAATGTGTGTGTATTTTGTAAGCATTTAAACACAATAAAATTTTATCACATAAATTAATAAGGAGAAGACTACTTCTATAACTTTTATAAATAATAATAACAATATTATATGACAACAAAGATAATAAAATAATAATTGAGTATTGTATGATGATGAACATGAATAAGTATTTTTTTCCTTACATCACTTAATAAATATATATTTAAAAATCAAATTTATATTAGTATAGAATGTCAGCAGAATAATATGTTAATCAACATGTTAACGTTCAGGCTAAAATAAACACACTGATTAAAAAAGCTGAAAATGGATGATTCAGCCCTATTGTTTTTGTGCCTGTAATACAAGCTCTATAGAAATGAACCATTTAATATATGTATCTCATGCATCGCACGGGTTATGCACTAGTAAAAATATAAAACATTTGAAATTTTTTAAAATATTTTTGAAAAGTCATGGCAACTTAATTTTTTTTTTTTTTTTTTTCTAAACGCCAACTTAATTATTAAATTTTATCCTTATTCATCTATCTACAGATCTCATATTTTATGGTCACAACTAAAATGTATTTATTTAATAAAGAATGCTAATTTTAGAAATTAATTTTTATATATCAGAGTGTTCATCTTAATTGATGATTTTTTTGTGTATATTTATCACGGTTCAGAAAACCGAATGTTATACCACAAATACTTGAACCGCTGGACCGCTCCTCTCCGAACCGGGTTGCATCTCCTCGATCACACCGGTACCTGCAAAACACGCCGGGGGTGGTCCCGACGCGAACACTCCGACGTTCAAGTCAGTGGCGGTCCAAAGAGAAAACGGCAGAGTAACGAGACAACAAGTATGTGTGTTGTGTAAAATAAATGAATCTGCTCCTTTTATAGAAGAAGCTAAAGACTTCTCATCCGACAAAAAGTCTCATCCCCGTGTAACTCTAAATTGCATAAGATATATCAAGTCTTTAGAGTCCTCCTTGATATCAACTTCTTCGTGACTTGGCCCCGAAGCCACTTTAAGGCTCTCTCTTCGGCGGAGCCCTCTGGCCCAGCCGCCTAAGTGCCGAGGCGGCCCTCTCGATGGTACCCTCTTAGTGGTACCCCCTTTGGCCTAAGTGCCGAGGTGGCCCTCTCGATGGTACCGTCTTGGTATCCCCCTTTAGTCTAAGTGCCGAGGCGGCCCTCTCGATGGTACCCTCTTGGTGGTACCCCCTTGGGCCTAAGTGCCGAGGCGACTCTCTCGATGGTACCCTCTTAGTGGTACCCCCTTTGGCCTAAGTGTCGAGGCGGCCCTCTCGATGGTACCCTCTTGATGGTACCCCCTTGGGCCTAAGTGCCGAGGCGGCCCTCTCGATGGTACCCTCTTGGTGGTACCCCCTTGGGCCTAAGTGTCGAGGCGACCCTCTCAATGGTACCCTCTTAGTGGTACCCCCTTTGTCCTAAGTGTCGAGGCGGCCCTCTCGATGGTACCCTCTTGCTACCCCCTTGATGGTATTCCTGGTACCCTCTCATATGATAGTGACAATCGGATCATGGTCAGTCCAAGTCCAGCCATTACTAACTGCCGTATCACAACCGACCCTTCATGAACCGCTACTGACGACCACATCACCAAACCTGTCATCGAACTGATGAAGCTACTTGTTCAATGGTTCATTGGTTGGACCAGTGGTCGAACCGATTTATATAATATATAATTTTTTATTTATTTTATATGTAATTATATATATATTTATATCACTAATTTTATAGTGTATTGTTTGTAGTATTTTTTAGCATGTGGTGACCGAGCTACCCGACTCCGGTCGTTCTCAAAAGAAGACTGTTCGGAGCTCGTTCACTACCTAGTCTTCAAAATCACATGACCGAAAAGAAGGTCCTAAAGATTTTATTCGCTTGAAGGAATTGAATTAAACACTACTCGCAATTAGAAATCGAAAGCAATTGGAAACTTGGAAACAAAGATGCTTTAGGTCAACATGAGTCTCTATCACTCGAAAAACACAAAGAACCGAGCGACATCAACATAGCCAAGTGATCCTAGGTGATTAAATCGAGCTTTCTACTAATGACTACTCTTTACACTGCAACATTTAAACAAGATAAGCACAAACTAATCCCTAACACACATCGACAAGCAACAAGAATCGATCATTCTTCCATTCAACAAGCAAAACCAAATTCACATTGAAACACATCATAAGCAACAACGGGCAAAATCGAAGTAATGAGAATTAAAGCTAATTACCCACTCTCCTAATGCATGCGTGAGAACACCGGATGGAAAAGTTCCAATCTTGAAATAAAATGATGTCACCAGAAACTTGCCAGAAAATTAGACTAATAAAGCTCCAAACCAAAGCATAAAAAGAAAAGAGAGAAAATAGAAAGAATTTCCCAACTTAAAAAGTTGAGAAATGAGGGTGATGTTCCAAAATTACAAAGCACAATGTCTATTTATAGCTACACCACAAACACACACTAAAACATACACATTTAATGATAAAAAAACTCGTAAGGTAGGCTGAACTCGCGAGATAGGTGTTGTTCGCGGGCTGGAGTGAACTCGAGGGTTAAGTGCAGTTCGCAGGATAGGAGTAGGAATTCGCGGGCTCTAATTCGACCTTGGCTTGACTTTTGAGGCTCGATTAGCTCTAACTTCTCGCACGGTTATCCGATTGACTTGAAATTTTAAACCATGCTCCTCAAATCTTTTTCTCCTCGTCTCGGGTGACTTTTTGGCATTTTCTGGTAAATTTATTACCGACTTTCTGGAACACGCTTTCCCTACAAAATAAAAGGTAAAAAGAGAAATAAAAAGCTCAAGACACCAAAACGAAATGAAAACACAAAAGCGAGCAAATATGACTAAATAGACTGAAAAAAACCTAAAATAAAATAAAACAAACACAGATAAAACTCATAAGAACACAAAAAATAACAACCCGCAAGACCTTTTTCTTTCCTCGAGCTCGAACTCCTTGGAAACCTTTCGCCATGGGGTCCCGAAGAATAATGAGGCTACTCTGTTTAGCCGAATCTTAGCCCTAGCAAATTGGGGTTACTATGGGCTACCTCCACAGACAATGAAAAATTTCAGGCCAGGGGCAGTCTGCCTTCCCGTTCCAAGGAACGAAGTACAAACCAATATATGAATACGAAATCTCTTTAAAACATGTATGACATTTCTCTAAATAATAACTCAATAATAGATACAACCGACAATGTTGAATAATGTTAATAACTTATTTTATTTTATTTTTTATATTATAAATTTTAATATATAATTAAGTTACAAAATAGAGAATATAAACAACCATATATTCATTTTAAATTTGTTATTATTGATTAAAAAATAAAAATATAAAAATAATTACATAACAAACAACAATAAATTTTTTTAATAAATAAATTAGGAATAAATATAGAGCAATAGATAGTCCAATTTAAGAAAATAGCACATTTTTTTAACGAGTACAATCCTCCTATATATTAATCCAGAACGCGCTGAGCCTACGTGGCTGCTTCTGATGCTTCGAAATCCTATGTGGCAAAATTACATGCTTCGTTATTAGGCTTGGGTAAATTTTAGTTTAATTCCAAACAAAAAATAATTAGATTCGGATTACCATAAATATGTTGATTATTTATGGTCATGTTAAATGTATTAATTGCATTTTAATATCATTCCTTATTATAACTATTGAATTGTATATATATTTTAAAAGTTAATAATTTTTATATTTTTTATCAGTTTTACATATGTGATATATCAAATTAATCTTCTTTTGATGAGTTTCGATTTAACATCCATATTGTATGTATAAAAAAAATAATTTATATTTATCTTTATAACAATAATAAAATTATTTTTTAAATTACTTAAAAAAATAAAATTCTTTATCAACTAATATATTTATATTTCAAGTAGTTATATGATATATTTTTTTTTTTTCAAAACGATAGAAATTATATTAAACCAAAAAACACATAATTACAACTAGCAATCAGCTAGAATAGCCAAACAGCCAAACAGCTGAATCTAGGAGGCCTACCTACTCAGAGATAGCCTAGAATCAAACTACACTAACGCACCCACGTCACAACAAACTATACAGCTCCCAACAGGAGAATAACACGACTCCTAAAAAGGAGAATAACACGACTCCCAAACGAGAGAATAACACGACTCCCAAACGGGAGAATATCACGCTCCCAAATGAGAGAATAACAAGTAGTTATATGATATAAGTTATAAAAACTAATATAATATAACACATGTAAGTCATAAGTAACACATATCATTCTAAAACATATAATAATATATTTTTTTGGTAAAAAAGTAAATTAAATTTAATATAGTTTTCTCATTAATTTTTAAATTTAAATATAATTTTTTAACAAGCACCCGTGTAATACACGGGCGTTGTACTAGTTTTGCTTGTAAAGCCTAATATTGGCCCAATAATTAAGCAAAAGAACATATCCCACATTGGAGACACATATAAAAAAGGTGTGCTATTTAAATCACTTCACAATCACCCAATTTCAAATTCAAAAATTGTAACCGTTGAACCATTCGAACTGATCCCAATTCACCGGTTCAACCGGTTTTCGAACGGTTCGAAATGGCTCTTGACTGGTTCTCATGCTCGGCGGGTTGATGCAGCAAACCGTACCGGAATGAAGGCCAGTTCCCTATTCAACCGATTGGACCGACAGATTCAGTCCGATTTTCAAAACCATGATATTTATACAACTGCAAGATCTTTTAAAGTTTAGAAAGAATACCATATTACGTGGATTCCTGTACCTATTTTTGTGTACATATCCATTTTTCATCTCATATTCAAATTATAAATTGCGAATCTTCAATATTTCATATTTATTAAATATAAATATATACACACACACAAACACAAACACACATATATATATACATATATATATATATATATATATATATATATATTTTAAAAGCATGACAATCCATATAATTAATTTTATTTATATCATGGGTTGGATGTTATTGATTTGAGTAGGGACATTCATTTTATTCTAAAAATAATATATAATTTTCTGTAATTTGTATTATTTTTTCTTGCAATAATGAGATGTTATATATAAATTATAAATAATTATATTTAAAATAATTTTTTTTAAAAATTTAAGTAACAAGCCCGTCCGTACGAGATGCACACTAGTAAATATTGAAGGTGAATTTACTTGTATATTTATTTTTTATGGTGGCCATCCTCAGATTTTTTTTAAGAAAAAATACAAAATTCATGGATTTTTGCTAAAACTCTTATCCAATATATATATATTTTTTTTTCCAATTTTTTTGGTTGCCATCATATGATGAAACAACTGAGTAGAAATTCAAACAATCTTATCCAAAGACTTCATATATATATTTGACATTAAAATGAACTCCGCTTTCAACTGAGAGCATGTGATGGCTGAGTCATGATTTTCATTATCAAGGTATCAAAATTAAATCCAAAATCTACCAAATGAAGTGTGGTTGCCTTTTGGG